GCTGCCATTCTACAATACTGTAAACAGGTAGACAATAATAGGTGGCTACCTTTCTACAGTATTATAGACAGGTGGATAACAATAGGTGGCTGCCTCCGCTTTGCTTTGCTTTGCTTTGCTGCCCTGTCCTGCCTGTGAAACTGCTTCTGAACCTCTTGCTACATAGCTTCTGAACTGTAATTTTGTGGATCTGGTCAGTTGGTCTCTTAACGCAATGGACACACTTTTTGCGACAAGCTTCAGGCGAGCTGAACTGCCTGAACGACACGTTCTGCTGTCGATCGGGAATGGCGAAATTGCATATAAATTGATTTATGATGACAGGTTTCCTGTTTTTGGAATTGTCTGGTTCCTGATTTATCAACATACAAAGAAGAAGGCCGCAGCTAATCTGGCCTGGTCAGGATCCGCCTGTGTGAAGGTTTGCTCTGTGTCTCGAGCACCCAGACTCTAGTGCTTAGCAGACTGGATAGCAAATTGGATGTGATTTGTGAGAATTGCAGGCCATATGCGGCCCCTATGACTCACTGGCAGGATAAATCAAATCTCTGGGAATATTCTCAGGCATGCATCAGTGGTGTGTCCACTTAATTTGGACCTTTCGGAATATATGAGAGTTCAGCAAAGATTCAAGGCAGAAAAAAATTCAGTAAAGTTCTGCCTGCCATCAAAACAAATGTTGTTTATCTGAATTTGGCTCCCTTGTTTGGCCTTGCAGGCTACCTTATCTCAATTTGCGTGGAGGCTCTGTTATCTGACACTATGCCACCCTCCCTGCCACTGAGGAAGTCCACTGATCAACCAGAGGAAACCAGCTGAATAAACATTGTATCATCATTTCAGGACACTTGGATTCTCAATGGCGTTGTCCTTGGCCATTCCCCGATACCCCTCGAGAATATTTACGGATCTCACTGGAGGGAACTGGCTGATTATTCCATCCTTATCAGAACTCCTACAGTGCCTCCGGGAGCGTACTTGGACACTCTCACTGCCCTTGTCGTCTCTGCCCCTCACTCTGCAGAATGTCTACGTCACCATGTGCTTCTATGTGCGGGGCGTTTTTTTCCCATTATTAGGGCCTTTCTTCTCAGCCAAGAAAGTTTCATAGAATTTTTTTGCCTCGAAATCCTACATGTGTTCACTTTCACTACTTTTTTGTCTTTCTAAACAGATTTCACTTGCAAATGAATCTTCAAGGCTCATTGTGATTTATTTGTCTAAATAAAGGTTGAATGAATGAATTAATCCTAGAGTAATGTAAACAAGTGGATAATAATAGGTAGCTGCCATTCTACAGGACTGTAGACAGGTGGAAAATAATAGGTGGCTGCCTTTCTATAGTACTGTAAACAGGTGGATATAAATAGGTTGCTGCCGTTATACAGTACTGTAGACAGGTGAATAATATTAAGTGCCTGCATTTCTACAGAAATCTAGATAGGCGGATAATAATAGGTGGCTGCCATTCTGCAGTACTGTAGACAGGTGAATAATAGGTGGCTGCCATTCTGCAGTACTGTAGACAGGTGAATAATAGGTGGCTGCCATTCTGCAGTACTGTAGACAGGTGAATAATAGGTGGCTGCCATTCTACAATACTGTAGACAGGTTGATAATAATAGGTGTCTGCCATTCTCCAGTACTGTAGAATCTAGCAGTACACAATTAGCTAAAAGGAAGCTGAAAAACACACAAAAAAAATCTCAATTAAGTTATAAGAAAATAGCCAAAAGGAGCAAATAAAAAGCTCGAATTAGCAACAAAAAAGCAACTTGCGACATGAACAGTTGAATTAGCTAACAAGTATATTGGGGAAAAAAGCACAAAAGCTGAATTTAGCAGAAATAAGTTAGGAAGAATAAAAGTCTGAGATTGCCAGAAAAAAAATGCTGGAAAAAAAAAAAAAAGCTGACCAACTAAAGCTAAAAGGAGCTGAAGCAGAACAACAGCCGAAAAGAGCATTAAAAGTTTGTAAATAGTTCAAAGGGTTTGAAGGATGTGGATAAAGCTCTGTTCATTTTCAATGAAAAAAACATGGACGACAAAGCTAAACATTTCAAAATAATGCACAAATACCAAAAGTCAGAGCAGGATTGTTCTGAGTGAGCTGAACGTGTCTGCTTCATAAACATTCACACTGTTAATAACAGAAGAATAAGAGGTGAATGGTAATGAGGTCTGCTTAGGCCAGTGTTGTCCAGTCCTAGTTCTAGGGGGCCACTGTCCTGCATGTCTTAAGCCCTATTCACAAAGGATTAGTTTTACCTAGGGACCACATGTTATAAATAAATAAATTACTCCCCAATTTCTGCTTTTTATGTGGCGCATTTGCACGGGATAACCAAAGCCTGAGATTTAGCTAAAATTTACGGACATCTTCTGGATAGGATGTTAACGCACTGCGTTGTCATAACCAGGCCGGTCCATATAATGTGCTAAATGTGCGGGCCGGGCCAGTCTCAGGCTTTGATGTGGTTTTACGAATTAGCACTAAAGAAAACTAAATAAAAATGCACAATATAAAATTGTGTTAATCTGCTTGTTGTGGAGGAGGCAGGCCCGACCAGCCAGTTTAAGAGGTAAAAAAAAGGCCACGTTAAGCTCAGATGGACAACCTGTCACCGGCCGAGCGCGTCCGCTGACCAGTTGAAATGGACTTGCGACCTGTCCAGGGTGTACCCCACCTCTTGCACAGTGATGGCTGGACATGGGCACCAGCGATCCCCGCTACCCGAAGAGGAAGAAGTGGGTAAATATAATGGATGGATGGATGGATGGATGGATCAGCTGATCACCGGCTGCACATGTCTCCGCACCTGCTGTCATCTGCGGTAAAGGAAGTAGCAGCATCTACAAAAGCCGAAGCGAGCAGCGAGTTCATTTAAAATAGCCTTGTTCTATATTTTTCCAAATGATTTTACTTAGAAAACAAAAACAAAAAAACGCCCCATTACGTATAGGATCCCGCCCATTTCGGTCCAAATTACAGTGATGCCTATTCACTTTGTATTAGTATTATCACAGGACCTAGGAGTTCCGCAAAGTATAGTAGGTAATTTACGGGGGAATATTTACTTTACAAATTACTGACATGGCCAATTGCACAGGATTAACAACAGACAATCTCTGTAATTATTACAAATAGCATGTGGTACCTAAGGAAAAACCAATCCCATGTGAATAGGGCTTTACTAATTTCTCTGTGCCAACACTCCTGATTCAGTGGCTGAATCACCTCTTCATGTTAGGCAGAAGCCCGTTAACAACACATTAACTCAAATCTGGTGTGTTGGAGCAGAAACACCCAAATTGTGCAGGACAGTGGCCCTCCAGGACATGACGCCCATTATTATAGACTTTTACATGTTCCTCTCTGACCCATGAAACAGATGAATTAAACCAAACATCCTTGCAGACATTGGGTCTGTCTCTGTCCTGTGAGCTGCCTGATCCAAGGGAGTAAGATACCTGATCGTAGTACTTGTTGATGTATTTGTAGAGCTCGTGCAGAGCAACCAGGTAGTTGAGTTCTCCAGAGTAGTTCTGAAACACATAGCATTCAGGTGAGCTTGTTCATTTTATCTGAGCACTATGAAATGTGACTGGACCCACCCTGGACAGTTCTGCCAGAGCCGAGTTCATCTCCTGATCACTGGCCGATATCGTTTGTCTGATGTCGGCGTAGTACCTTTAACAACAACCAACATCATGATCATCATCATTATCATCATTACACAGGGTCTGCTGGTTTAACCCAGACATTGGGTTCTGCTTGAAGCTCAGCTGACCTTTCCACCATCTGTTTGTAGCGGGGGATGTCTCTGGCGTACAGCAGCTTGTTGATGGGAGAGTCCTGTTCCAAGAGGGAGAGACAAATCACATCCAGGCCTTGAGGTCTCATGGACTTCTTAAATCCAGAAGTATGAAACTGTGCACAAATCTGAGAACATTTTCTATAAACATCAAGATCAAGGTGGAATTTTAAAAACGGATGATATGCCCTTATGTGATGATTCTCTCTGCTCAATCAAAAATCACGTCTACATGTGGAAAAAAGAGGAATTTCACAGAATGTGAGTTATAGTGCTCTGAAACAAGATAGTGGAGTTTGACAGGCTGTCTTCTGGCTCTAGGAGTGACAGTGTGTGCCAGAATGGCTGGTAGCTAAGTGCAATCACTGCCTATTAACGCTAAACACATGGAGCACACTCACAGGTGTTGTAAATGAACATACAAGCACCAGCATCACGTTTATTAAACCGGGACATCTTCAGTGTCCACCTCAGAGACTGACACATTTCCAGCTTCACATAAAGTCAGTCACTTAAAGTCCGGCACCCATTTTTTTCATTTTTCATATCCAGAAAAACACAATACAGACATAAAAAATAAATACTCATGTTCTGTGGCAAACTTTGAAAAGTAAACTGGTTCTAAAAGCGTAGTTTTTGAGAAGAGTTCCAGCCGTTTCAGTCACAGCTTTGGAAACGGCCCTTCACTTCCATATATGGGGTGTGATGTCATGCCAGGGACCCAATCCCAAGACCCGGCAGTCTCATGGAGAAAACATCTCCACCCTCGCCAAACAAAACCCATCCTCCACCTTTCTGACTGAGGCCCGAAGTTATATGTCAAAAGTCAACAAATCTAAAGGAAGAAGAAAAAGATGCAGAAATTGAAGGACAAACGGCAGCGATAAAGATACAGCATACATTATATATGTGTATCTCAGGCAGGAATATTCCTGCCTGTGGATACACTCCTGCCTGTGGATACACTCCTGCCTGTGGATACACACTCCTGCCTGAGGATACACACTCCTGCCTGTGGATACACACTCCTGCCTGTGGATACATACTCGCCTGTGGATACACACTCCTGCCTGAGGATACACACTCCTGCCTGAGGATACATACTCGCCTGTGGATACACACTCCTGCCTGAGGATACATACTCGCCTGTGGATACATATTCCTGCCTTTAGATACACTTCTGCTTTTGAATATACACTCATGCCTGTGGATACACACTTCTGCCTGAGGATACACACTCCTGCCTGTGGATACACACTCCTGCCTGTGGATACACACTTCTGCCTGAGGATACACACTCTTGCCTGTGGATACACACTCCTGCCTGTGGATACACACTCCTGCCTGTGGATACACACTCGTGCCTGAGATACACACTCCTGCCTGTGAGTACACACTCCTGCCTGTGAGTACACACTCCTGCCTGTGAGTACACACTCCTGCCTGTGGATACACAC